CTGCAGATAATAAGAATTTATTCAAGTCATCTCGCTTTGTGTGCACAATATGCGCTATACAGAGCGACGATAGCGTTAAACTGATTTTCCTCGATGCTTTCTCTGCAAACTTGATTCCGCGAGTGGCAATAAGGAAAAAAAAACGTAAACGCGAAAACGCGTGCGGGAGACGAGGCAAAATAAAATAAACAGCCCCGAGTACTGTGCAAATCGAAAGATTTTTGCCTCCGATACGTTTCAGTCACGGCTGGCACTTTTCGATATACATCGCAGATGTGTACATAGGCTTTTCGCTTTGGATGTATACATATATATACGTTGGAGATACAATGGAAACTGCGACAATGGATATCGGATTAATAGCTCAGACGTGGTACAGCACGCACAAAGGCGACCCACTGCTATAAATGCATTGAGTGCGCACGAGAGGACGGACGAGTCCTCTTGCTGCTGCAGATGATGGGCGAGGTGTACTACAAGACTAGAGGATTAATGCCCTCTTTACATACGTCGAGAAGAGAGAGAGAGAGAGACTCGGCCTTGTATCATTAGTTATTATATAGCCTCGTGCGCGCTGAAGCTGTGGCTCTCGTCTATGGTAATGGATTCGAGTGTATTGTTGCTTATCAAGACTCGAGCATCAAAGGATTAGGAGTTCTCTCCTTGTTACAGACTTGAGCAACAGACAGCAACGGGAGAGAGAGAGAGAGAGAGAGAGAGAGAGAAATGCAATAATGAGGAGGCAGTTTATGCGAACCCTTAAACACGACGTTTTACGAGGATACATAAGGCGAGTTCGCTTATACCCTATTTTATCCAACTTTTAAAGCTTCTCGCGCCCTCTTTACAAGTTCCATCGTGCTTCATAATAGAAAATAATACAAGAGTGACGAGCATCGGGCAACTATATACCCCTGCGTCTCGTTCTACACTTTGTCATGTAATAAATCGCATTTATATTCGGCATTTACACGAAAACTCGTTTTTCCGCCTTGTGTAAGAAAAACAAAGAGCACGCGTGTGCGGTGGGGCCGTCGAAGCGAGCACTATAGTATACAACGCACTCGAATTTACTTTAACACAGAAATAGAGAGAGAAAGAGAGAGAGAGAGAGAGAGAGAGAGAGAGAGAGAAGAAAAAAAAACATCATTGTCCTTTTCCGCACACGTGGCAACTGTATTCCATTCGTTTCCTCTTGCGTTTCGTTTATTATATTTGAGTTAATACTGTGCCGGGCTCGTCTTCCAGGCTTCACTGCGTACAACAGTCAGCGGGGGCCGTGTGTAGCTGGAAAGGATGTTTACGCGCGCGAGTTTGTTTACGTGTGCTGCGGTTTGGTTCGGTCGAATATTTTCGAGTGGATCTGTCAATGTATGTAAAAAGGCAACGATAGCGGGAAGAGAGAGAGAGAGAGACAACTATCAATTAATTAAATATTTGAAAGATAACACTGATAAGGGGTCAAGATAATTAAAAACAAAAAATATCAAAGTTTACATAACCAATGATTACTTTTAATTATGTTATTCAGACATTTAGAAAGGACGAAAAATATTAGCAATATACTTTTACATAATTTTCGTTTTAATTAAGTATATTATAATATTAATATTACGAGCAAAGTCACAAGACCAAATTAAACAGTAGAGCTTTAAAATGTCCAATTTAAATTAATCGTGTCAGTATTTAGTTGATTCATTTATAATATCGTATGATTTATTTTAGCCATATATGAAACTATTACAACGAATTACAATACTCAAAATTCGATATCAATATAGAATCAGGATGATAATAAAGTACAATAAAGGTACACATCGAAGCTTTGACGTGGGTAAATGAACTGTAAAATTTTATTATCCTCGATCGAGACATTCATAAAGTTGGAATTATTTAATTGTATAGGAGCAATTGCAAAATGAAGGTGACACGGGGGAGGGGGATTGAAATGCGCATTAATGTATAAGCAATTTATGACAAAATAAAGTGTATAATACATGTATACAAGAGAGTAAGAAAGAGAAAAAGAGAGATAGAGCTAGAAGAGAGTAAGTAAGAGAAAAAAGAGAGAGAGAGATAAGGTGATAAAAGGCGCAGACGTTCGTTACGTAAGGTACATTACGAAACGAAATATATGAATACATTCGAGCAAAAGAGAGAGAAGAGAGCGTCGTACGCGAGTTTTCCTTTCGATCGGAAATTGTCGACGGCACGACCGGCGCGTAGCTATATATACTCGATACAGAGACTCTTATTGCTTATATGTACTCTCGCATGGTCGAGTAATTTCGGGTTGGCTAATAATTTGTTTATCGTCGAAACGTATACATTTACCCCTTATATGATGCAACCCGCACTCTCACACACGCGCACAAGAAATTCGTTGTGTAAATAATAGAGCGAGTTCTGTAGCAGTAAAGGCGGCGTTAGCTACTATATATACATTTTCTATTATTTATCCGCAAGGGAGGATAACATCCCAAAGAACGAGAGCTCGGCAAAAAGGGCAAAATCGTCGCTTCGATTAAGGTCGCTCGCTGCTCTGCGTTGTGTGTGTGTGTGTGCTGCTGCTCTCCCGGTTCGCAGTTTCCGCGCATCGCTGCGCCTGCATTATTCAGTTGGTCGAACCCTGCTATATACACACATACACACACACACACACACACACACACACACACACACACCCAACCTACGTATACGTTATATGGAACAGCATCGCGTCCGATGCACTCGCGCGTGTATCCCATGTCCATGTGCATACGCTACAGGCTTGATTAATTTTTATATGTATATACATGGCCTGTACCACGCCGAGCGTGAAAGGTCGAAAAAAGAACTGCGCATTATCCAAGTGCGTATAGTCTTTTCCAGAGTAAATTGCAAAATGACAATCCGCAACGATTTGACGACTCCGAGCGAAATTATTATGGAATATGTACTTGAATATTTTTACAGAATGTACCTGTGAGCGAACAAGAAAATTTCGATGACAAAGTTTCAGGGTCTTCATTTTTCTATGTACTCTATGAGAGTCTGTATTTAGATCCTGCAACCCTTTTTTACTTTTCACGCTTCACATGGTATGGCCCATATGTATAAATGTAGATACACGAATTATACCGATACACGATCAATCGACACCATCTTCACGTGTACTTTTTTTTATACATTATAAAGTCAACAATTTCACTCCCAAAAGCTTTGATGTGACCGTTTCGCGGAGTTGATTTTCCAGTCATGAATTATTATCGATGAGTGTAATATAACGTTTACTTTGTTACTGGTACTGCGCATCGATTACTACTGCACGAAAATTCGAAATAAATCACCCAAAATTGCTAATATGTGTTTTTTTTCTGCTGAAATCCATTGATAAACCCATTAAATTCAACCGAAAAAACGAATGAAAAATTCACTCCTCGAATGCAAGCTTCTAATTCTATATAGATAGATACACGTGAGCATATGGATTTCTGAGCGATAGTGTCTATTTGCTTTAGTTCGATCACAAGTACCGTTGTCTAATCGAAGAAAAGTAGAGAACGAAATGAAGTTTTCACGTTTCTGTCTTTGTTAACGTTTTTAGTTCTTTTCCGCCGCATCGATGCTCCATAACCTTGAGCATTGCTTCGTGACAATAATTAAAATGTCAAAGTAAATGGCAACTAAATGCACTTGCCCGCAGCAATCGCTGTACACACGTGCTTTTTTTGCCCGCGCGCAAAAACGAGGGAGATCAAAAATAATATAGACCTTTGTACTTGCTTTTCATGTACACATATAAGTCAACCGCGACTTCCAATTTGCAAGCCCGTAAACGAGGCGCGCGCCGCGCGGTATACGCTACTTGCAATGAAAGAGTACGTAAACGTGGAATAAAAAACTCGGCTTTCGTGGTTTTTTTACTCGCTTCTCTTTCTCTCCCTCTTTCTCTAATCTCGTTTACAAAATGAAAGGCCGTTGTAAAAAAGAGCGATGCGTAATTGCTTTTCGAATAAATTTACTTACTGGCTTCGTGCGGCTGCGTGCGCGCGCGCGCGCTGGACAAGCATTCAATTTACGTTTTATCGAAGGTGAAGTTTTTTCGCGTGTACACGCTGCTTGTTCTCATTAGCGTGAGCAATTTTTGAGCGCGAAAAAACCTTAACTCGCGATTACAGTCGTTGAGAAAGAGGTCGAACGAGAGAGTTTAAAGAAACAAAATGAGTAATGCGCAAGTGTTCATTGGGTCAAGGATAAGCCATCGATGCACGATTTAAATTGATCCAATAGTTGTCACAACAATTTTAACATTTTTTTAGCATAATTTACAAGGAACGTTGATCGAATTCTGATCGAGAGAATTCATACAAAATTTATGTCGTGTAGTCTCGAGACTGAAAAGTTTTTTTTTCGCTCCGTTAAGAATTTCCGCGCGCGATATATATGCAGGATGCGGCGCGCGAAACGATTTTGTGCTCTCCCCACTCCCCGAGAATAAACGGCCGATGATGCACATTTTTTACCTGCTCGATTTTATCTTCTTCTCTTTCGTTGTGAAACAATTATGCGAATGTTTGCAGCATAAATTTATATACACATCAATATACACCCATCGAACGTTTGATTGTTTTTGTTTTTACATAATTACACAACAATTATAAATAACAACAATACACTCACGCATGCATACAAGACAAAAAACAAATAAAAACAACATCTCATTCTTTACGCGATCAAAAATATTATTGCATAATCGATTGATGTTTAATTCAAAGCTCTTTACATCATATAGTTTAGGAAAAAAGAATTCAAAGACTCAAGAGAAAAAAGAGAGAAGAGAGCACAAAAGTGACATTGCTTATAACATTATTTCGTAGAATATATACCAGAGAGATGAAGAAAGACAGTATTATAGATACAATAGAAAGAGGAAAATGAAAGTAAAGAAAAAAGAGGAAAACAAAAGAAGAGCGAAAATGAAGAGTGATACGAAAAAATGTTGGCATAAAAGGCGGTACCTAACAAGGGTATAGCGTCGGAGACCTGCGGCAATGTTTCGGCAACGAGATTCAGGAACACCGTCAGCGATAGCAAGATGGTCACTCCTGGAAAACATTAGGTGCATTTCGCACGGATATATATGTGTGGTGGCCCCCATAGCGACAAAAAGATAAGAAAAAAAAAAGTAGCACACGCCGCAACTGAGCTTTTTTCCCACTCGTTTACGACTCAGAGCAGCTTTTCTCAAAAATGTCCAACAAACATAGTAATATGACGTTGGTATTTAAAGCTGCTGCGAGCACAGCTCGAGTTTTTATATACCATATAGTTCCCGCACATAATACGACGATTGCACCGTTGCAGAAATGAAATATAATTTTCTGGATGGGGTCTTGCGTGGCGGAGAGATGAAATATTCACGATAGTTATGAGGCGCGCATCTCGGCATTACATATAACATCGGTTAAAAAAGACTCGAAAGCGTCTCTTTTTTTTTTGCTGTTTTGTATGTACTCGCGCGAGCCTTTATAAAGGTGGATCCGGCTCGCGTTTGCGCGCGCGGCTAAAAGGATGAATTTTCAACTTTTCCAAGAATTATCTTCCTTTTGCTCGACTTTATATTTCCTTTAGATTTTGCCGGCTCCGCTAGCTAGCCTCATGCGCGCGCGCATCTGTTGATAATCGGCTTATACGCAGTGCAAGAGCAAGAGCACAATGCGAAGAAGAAGAAGAAGAGAAAGAAGAGGCATGCAGAGCGTGTATTTTGCTCGCTGCACGCCTCTAATACACATTATTATTAAATTCGCATCGCACGCGGCTCTGTTTCTAGGCGTTTAATTCTCGTTTGACCTAGAATCGAATTTCAGGATGTTTCTTTTTCATCCCGCTGCACGAAATTATGCTCGGAATAAGCTCGTCTAATAAGAGCGCAACGCTATATAAGATGGTCCGATTTTCAGAATCAATTGCTCGAAGCCTGCGTCGAACGCGCCACGACACCAAGGCTATATTTACTTCATCTTCTTCTTGTTCGAGAAAGAGAAAGAGAAAAATAAGCTGAATGTTGTTGAGACAACGTGGTCAAAGTATATAAGCAAGCGCACGAAGGAGTGAGAGAGCGATAGATGCAATTTCATGGAATGAAGAATATTGCCTCGACCAAAGAGAGGCAGGCAGGGTGGGTCGGCACTCGAAAANCCTTGGCTTTGAAGTTGTATGAAGCGAAGTAAAAAAAAAAAAAAAAAAAAAAAGTTAATACCAACGCTGAAATTGGTCGAGAGCTTTTCCAAGTGCTCGCGCTTAAAATATCAAACGAGAAAGTTGCACGCTTGCGGGATTACAAGGAAACTGAGAAAAAGAAAGTGTGTGTGTGAAAAGCGAGGGAGAAAAGTCTTTTTTTTCAAAAAAAAAAAAATAACTCGAAGGATACAATTGTGATAATTGATGAATGTGCTTGATTGCTCGGCGAGTTTCAAAAAGGTATGAACTTTGAAGTTTCGACAATTTTACCCAACAACTCGTTAAATACAGAGACCTTTGTATTTATTCGAAATGGTCTCGATCAGAAAATCTTGGGCACAGCAGCGCAACTTTTGTACAGAGTCAACACTTTGAAGAAAATTTAATTAACTTTGTAAGGAATATTTTCACTGGCTGCAGCTAAATTGAGTCTGACGATTGTTTGTTTGCTGTGTGTTGAATATGTCTATTGCATTTTATTGTGCTTATATAAATGTATATACGCATAGATAGGATGCACACAAGTTTGCCAAGCTGTATAAGAACGAAGAGAGAGAAGATTGTTGAACTTGGGTTACTTAATTGTTTACGTTGCGTTGCTATGTGCCTGTACTACACCGTACTGCACCCGGAGAGATAAGTGCTCCGCAGCCATAAACGTGTATATATATATATAAGCTCGCCGCGCTCACCACTACCAGAGCAGAGCAGCACTTGGCTCCCTGTAGGACGAAAGCTCGACTGCGAGCTCTTCCTTATATTCCGAATATCTTGAGAGGGAGTTTGCCCGTTAACCGCGATTTCGTGCGGTGATTACGAAAAGCTGATTATGTGACGAGCGAAAGATGCGGCGGTGGCGGCACTACTTGCCTCTGAGCTCCATCTATATACGTATTATATATACGACCTGCATACGACCTATACAGTCGAGACAAGGAAACGTTTTTGATTGAAAAATCGATAGATGGACTGTTGCATATTCAGAAAAGATGGGATTCCTGTTTCACGTGGAAATCTTCCGAACGTGACAAACGGAAAAAATTCTCTGCATGGCCGGGCGCACATTTCCCGGTTAATTTAATTATGCTCGGACTGCGGCGGCAGTTCAGAGGAAACGCCGCACACGTGACGATGACAGCACGTTGGAAAAATGTACAAGTTCAAATCTTACGAAGAATTAGCTTTTATTATTTAAGAATTATTTATTTACTTTTTTTTCCTTGCAATGTCATTTTCGCGATAAATCGACTTTCTTGTAAAGACAGCCGAGCTATTGAATAGAGAATAAATGTGAGCATTGTGCGCGTGTAATACGAAGCAAAAAAAAAAAAAAAGGTACCAGCGGGTCTGTGTATATATACGGAGAGTTAAAGCGAAGTATAAGAAGAAAAAAAAACGACAAGCTCTCTAATTCAGAGCTGTGTTGGTACGCCACATTGCAACGGAGGCAGGAGCAAGCTCAGTACACTGGCGTGGCAGCTTCATCCAGTTAGCCACGCGGAATTACGACTCGACGCCGAGAGAGAGAGAGAGAGAGAAATCTCGTTTTCTCCCTCATCGACTACAGAGAGGACCCGCGGCGGGGAGTTAAGGATCTTTCCAAGATATCTGGTCGACTTTCTTTCCTTTCCTCTCTCTTGGGGGAAAATGACTCAACAGGCGTATTTTTTTGCTGTTGTTGCGGATACCGATGATGATGACCATCGACCTCTTTTCATTTCTTTTCTTTATTCTCGCTCTCTTGCGCGTTTTATACATGTCCAAAGATATCGAGTTTATCATGAGGGAACGGCTAAACGGCAAACTTTGCGCGTTTTCCGTATACGCCTACGAATATGTTTAAATTTTTTGTTCTCCATCAGAAATTATTCTACTTTTTCTAAAAAATTAAAAGTATATCAGACAAATTCCTTAGACTCGAAAAAGTTGAAAAATTTATAGTAACGTTAAGGAACATAAAATCGAGCTGAACTGGAAGATAATCGTGAATCGTTGTGTATTCGCTGCCTACAACATTTGATTAAAAAGGCATTTTCCTTGAATTCTAAGCCTTATATGCTAAGAAAGTTATGAATAACTTGATTTATGAATTATTTAATTATGAAACTTATTGATAATAATTAATTTGTATCAATTATAACGAGGAAGAAATATGTACAAGAAATTCATTCGTGCAGAAAAATTCGAAAATATTAAATTCCTAAAATATAAAATTTTTCACAAATTAATTTTTCTTCCACCCATGTCACGAATAAATTAACCTCTGTAATTATCGATCGAGTGGTCAGAACGTATGTAACGTCTGTTCTCCAATCTGCCAATTAATAACGTGTTTTTTCGATAGAGAAAAAGTTCGGACACTATCGTAAAGAAACGTCAAAGTGATGTATATTTTCGCAAAAAGTCTTATTTGTTATTCATCTAAATGTGCTTATTTATTATCGTGTTTTTTGTATATATATTTGAGTCTTAGAGTAGTGAAATTAATTCGTCAGTATATGATGTCGAGTTATATCGTATATTATATTACCTACAGTGCAGATATACTATGAGGGGTTCGTTACAGGAATTATAATAAATTAGAATAGAAAAAATTTAATTTGTATAGAATAGCAAATCAATCGGATGTATTATATAAAATTTAACACGATCTGCGGTGTTGATATTGCAAACTATGATGTCAAAAGTATGGATTAAATATAATATATGTTGCTAGCTATAGATCAGAAATAGTTTTATATATAATAGCAATAAATAATGTAATATGAGTAATATTAGAAGATATGGTGACTCAAGCCTCCATGAAAATTTATAACAATATAATAATGGATGTATAGCGGTATACAAGTCTACTTGTACTATTATATAATACAGTATATGATTGTTTGTTTGTTAATTTTAATTATTTTTCAATATATCATTTAGTTATGCATCAGTTTAGCTTGTTCATTTTAACTTTATAGTGTTTTATTCGTTATATTATAATCTTTGTGCAGTGCATTGAATTGATTTATCCTCATAGCAGAGCCTCCTAGACTAGCCTCCTAGACAGTATAACAATGCGATGGCCAATAAACAATTGCTCTTCTTAGTTTCTTGACTGCGTCCATGAAATTTTCTTCTGTATCTAAAGTTTTTTTTCGTACATGTAACAAAGTATTTCCATAGTTGTACAAAAAATTCGTAAATGCAAATACCGACCAATCTCTTCTCTCGTATCGCATTTTTCTTTCACCTCTTCATACAAAGGTGTGTTTTCGAGTACGTGTGTGCTGAGTTCATGATATATAGCAGGAAAAGTAACTTATTTAAACAGTAGACTTGTCGAAAAAAAATAACAATAAACAATTCATATGTAAAAAAAATCTATGTATACACGGACTTCATTGGTATTGTAATGAAAAAAGAAGCCACTGTACCTCGATTAAGGAAACATTAACCCTGCATAATTTCCGGCCAATTATCTACGAAATAAATATAATGATAGTCGGTGGTATCCGCATAATATAAGCCGAAACCGCAAAGGGACGCGCTCGCTTGGCTCGCGGTCAAAATGCAAAATCTTTCCCGGTCGTAGTCGTACTCTACGCTAGCTTATCCGCGATTAACGCCAAAAATTCTCACACCCCTCCGCCGAGTATAACCCATTACGTGCTCGCGCCTTGCAAATGCAGGGAAATGGCCATTTTATATATCCGTACGACACTATGGCAGTGCTGCGATGGCGTATATAATCTGCGCGTTATAATCTGAATAATTTCGTCTTTCTGTTGGAACACGAGGCGAGGGTATTTAAGCTCGTTGTAATCTTAGTCTCTCTTTTTATTTTCATTGAAACTTTCAATGAGCTCTGACGCGTTCGAGGAAACTTATAACTGCCGGAATAATTGTATTATCGTGGCAGCCGAGCTTCTCTCTGTGTTCGACGAACTAAAGTATCGGTACCCTCGGCGTCGTAAAATCATCCACGTGCTTCGAGCGAGGAGGGAAAAAAGACAGCCGCACCGAGAAGCTTTATAATGAAAAAATATGTGTCAACTTCAGCGTACACGCGCACACTTTCAGGCGAGAAAAGCTCGTATACGGATATTATACGCGATACATAACCGCACAACGAACCAGTTCTCGCACGCGCGCGGCGTCTGGGAATGAGCGCGACGGCGACGCGTAATTCCAAATAAAAAGTATGTGTTTGCACTCGGTGTTTAATTTTTCCAGCCTTTGTTTTGCCTTTCGAGCTGTCGGGGAAGAATAAAAAAAAATATATATAACTTTCGATTGTACGTTGAAAAAAAAAGAGTATGAACTGTTGCGCGTTGCATTTGTCACGTGTATGGAAGGAATAAAGGGTTTCTATTTTAATAGTGTCAACGAGAAGTAAATATGTACGCAAAAGTGGAGGAAAAATAGGAAGTCAAAAAACTGAGCGCAAAATAGCCGATGTGAAATCTTGAAATTTTCTGTTAGCCGAAAAGGCTCGGACACGATTGTAAAATTTGCTTGCGAGTGCATCTGAGTTTGAATTTTTTTCTTAGATAAAAAATCATAATAATAATTATATATAAAAAAAAAAAAAAAACGAGTACTAACTGACTTGTGTGTGTGTGTTGTTTTGTTTGCTTCTCTTTTGACAAACTAATGAGGAAAAATGCGATAGTATTTTAGTATAATATACATCATTTCTTATATTATTACATCATGTTTACGTCGCCATTTCCTCGTCGATATACACCGCTGGAACATCGATCAACGTTGAATAAATTCGATTTATCAAATTGACAGATAACCACGGTATAAGATTCGGTTTTCCTAAAAACCCCTGCGTAAAAGCGAGATTTCATTTGTACACGTATACAGACTGCTCTCGGAGCTTCGTTCGCAAACGCGCGCAGGCGACACGAAAAAGCTCGCCGTTATTCTGATAAATAGCTTTGGGCTGCGCTCGTAATCCAAATGGTATACATACGAATTTCGTGAAAAACAGAGAGAAAAGCGAGTACGGCTTGTTTTATTTTCTTACTCTCGTCGAGAGAGAGAGAGAGAGACATCCGTACACGCGACAAGGTTGATTATTTTACAATTTTTATAAAAGAGAATTTAGATTTTGGAGTGACGAGCGCAGAAGCTAATTCGAAAGTGTCTCAACGTACAAATGAAACACGCTTCGGGTATTGTACAAACATACATAAGTATATATAATATACATACGCAGAGAGAGAAGTGGGGTGGATGCTCGTTATATTCCTGTTCGATTCACCGCTTTGTATATGCACACTCGTAGGATGTATTTATACATAGATAGGTGTACAAAGGTAAACGCGACTATTCACACACATCACAAGTGTAAATAAGAGTGTGAACGAGAGAATAGGACATAATAAAAAGGAAAACACATTGGGTATAGACAGTAGACAGCCAGAGTTAATACATATATAATGTATATATAGACGTGGGACGGGCACAAAACACATACATATATAAAGAGAGAGAGAGAGTTTAAACAGTAGAGTTATATTATGTCTATACACACAGGATACGAAATTTTGGACAGTGAGATAAAGTAGAGAGATTATAGAGATGTTAGAGAGGCAAGCAGTTGGAATTGTATGTTAGGATTGAGAGAGAGAGACTGTGGGTACCTATCAGAGGCACTGCATCCGAGGTCGTCGGCATACTCTCGGCCACGAGGTTCAGGAAGACTGTCAGCGACAGCAGGATCGTCACCCCTGAGAGGATTGCACAATTTGAGATGAAAAACGTCGAGGTGAGACTTAAATACCACTGATACAATTATATTTGTTGTTGTTTTTTAATTTACTTTGCATTGCTTTTTTCGTCGCATATATCGAAGATTTATTATATAATACTTGTTATTTTGCTTTCAGGCGGTACATCGTTGAATTGTTTGAAACGATAACAGTTTGATTGGAGGCAAAAAAATTTCTTGGCCTAATTTTTGTTCGGTTCTTTTACTCCATACCGCCCATAGGGACAATGGGCTAATAACACTGTGAAAAAGTCATCGCGTGTGTACGTGTGCCACTCTTTCTCACAATTAACATCAAGTGCATACACACATCGACACACACACAGCCGCAGATGTTGTACGAGATGCAGAAATAAGCCCTATAACGACGTACAGCACGTCGACGCGTACAATAGACGTAAGAGCTGCCTAAAGAAATTCGGCACTGACAAAAACAAAGAGTCGACGAGTAAAAAAGCTTCAATGGAAAAAGAACTCTACTCTCGAGTCGTTAGCTCGTGCACGTTGCATTATACTTACGCAGAGGTGTACGCGAGCAAGAGAAATACATACAATAAATGAAATGCGGGTGCGCGATGTATATAACATACAAAGTGTCGACAGCGACGCATCGGGGTCAAGATACAAGCGCGCGCGCGAAATATCCACGCGAGGAAATAAAATTACAAAAAAAAAGGTCAGGGTCTGAACGGGGGGCGGATCGAGTCACGCGCGTACGTTCGAAAATTTCACCGACAAAGTAGTTTCGCGAATTTTTGTAATTTCGAGCAACACCTTATCGCTACAGCAGTCGTACAATGTAATTGATCGATCGCTGCCGCACGATCGATCGCGGCCGAGCTGCCTCTAATTTTTCGCCCAGCTTCGAAGCTATCTTTGCGTTTTGCTCGACATGCTCATTTGTGCCTCCAGACACGTAGCGACACTTCAATCATTTCGACGTGCACTGCAGCGGTGCACATCGCGAGCGGTGTATCGTATATATAAACATTCGCACGGTTATACCACGTACATAACACACGCTGCGCATTTGTGTCACTAAATCAAGCTCGTGTGTATGCCACGCGTCGGAGCACAGGTGAAACTCGAAGCTCGTGTATATACGTACACGCGCCTAGCTCGCGTAATGTACTTTCAAACTAATTAGCAGTAGACCTACGCGTGCATAAATATATATATAAATATATCAGTGGGTATGCGTGTACGGACTGCAATAGAGAGCTAGAGAGAGCGAGATATAGGCAAAAGGCATCCGTGTGAGACAATGGAATAGCCGAGCAATTAGCTCCTTACGCGCGCTAGACTACCAGTTGAAACTGTATGTATATAGCCCACACGGATGCACTGGGCTAGCTACCTACGGCACTCGACCGTACTGCAAGCTCCAATTAGCTCGTCCACTGTAAATTGCGACTTGATTTTGGACGATACACCCGACTATGTGCCTACGTCCTACATCTCGTTCTGTTGTATGTGTGTGTGTGTGTGTGCACGTGGAAGCGCATCACACGGCCGCAGTTGCCATGCTGATTAATTTACGAGTCGATTATTATGGAAATAAGATTTCGATGCGGATCGCGCACCGAGTGCAGCTCCAGCCAAACGAATCGAATTTCATCAGCTGCCTGACGATTTTTCAAGGGATGCCATCAACGGCGTCAGCCTGTTCGGCCCGATGGGCTACTCGTGCGTGACGATGAAACTCCACGAAGCGTCATAAATTTTGCAATTATCGCCCGCGAGCGTTGATATTTAATCGACTTCCGAGAGATGGCTAATGGGCTCGCGTGTGCTCGGATAGACTGTCGCGAAAATACACATACCACGCCGTAGAACGACGAAATTCGAAATAATTGTTAAATTTCACCCTCGATTTGCTGCTCGTTCGCGAAAGCACACAAGAAAAAAAGCCCAAAGAGAAAGATAAAACTCGAGGACGGTCATCAAGCGCCAAGTACCAAGTCGTTATCGAGTGAAACGACTCTTGAAAAACATTCATCGCCGCTCCCAAAATGAAAAGCTCCGTTATCGTCGAGCGAGCCGAGGCATTTAAATGTTCCCGACCGGCTCGATTCCGTAATTATACAGGCCGATATACGTGCGCAAAAATTTCCAAATATAACGAGTTGAGAGTTATTGATCATAAAACTTAGTCATGCCCATGAACAGGCTGCATAAAGCTCGCGTATCAATCAATCAATCAATGTATCCGTATACGATCGTGCGAGCACACACGAATTTCATTCCACGACACATTGAGCTTGACTCTTATGCTGCGTTGATTATTATTATTATTAATATCATAAGCCGTAAAAGTAAAAATGTGCACCGGCGAAATATGTTATTTCGTGCCCCAACGGCTCAGTCATAACGAACCAAGTTTACTCTGAACAACTCGTCATATTCTATACATGACGCGTATAAAAAGTTTACGACGAGTAAAAAAAAAAATTTGATCGGCCGCGGAAACAATTTCACTCGTCATTTGGCAGGCATTAGTATTTTTTCATTGCACTCGCGTGGCGCGATAAGTACTTATAAAAGTACAAAAGATGGGGCGCTGATTTTTATACGTATGAAAATTACTCCGTATTTTATTGCTCCGAGCGCGACAGAGCGAATCTCGCATCAAAACACGTGAAAGCCCCTCATTAAAAACGCCCAAAATGAGAATTTTCGAGTACACATTATCCAAGTATAAAGTCGGTCGACTTATACTTTACACGAAAGTTGGCCCAAAACTGGCGACTCTGTAATACGTGTAACAATAAATCCAACTCTCTCGCTCTCTATCACGTATTCTCGTGGCCGCCTATATGTGGATTTCAGCTTCGATGTTTGTCTTCAGTTTCGGCCAGTTTCGGTTGGCCAACTTTGCACGTGGCTTGTGTTGCTTCAAAAGCTCGCGCTGCCCTGCATACACACATACACACACACACACACACGCGCGCGCGATATATATACAAAATAGCTCGATCGATACTATGCAATGTGGCCAAGGCAATAGGCCACTGTATCCCCATGCCGAAAACCTTCCCTTTATTGCCCCTTGTAAAGTTTCACCGAGGCTCCATAGTTGTCAAAGAGAGGGCCTATATAGTACCAAGTCAAAGACTATACGCACGTATATAGTCGAGCCGTTATGAAACATAACACTCCTCTCTCAGACTTTACAATTGTGGAAATGAGCATAGCGTGTGGACGATTTCAATTGTCCATAGTGCACGATATGGGCCTCGCACTGCTGCTGTATCTATAAACAGAAACACAGGCAGCTGACTCGGGCTCGATTATTAAATTTTATTGTAATCGATTCGGGTTTTCGATTCTCTACATCTCTCTTTCTCGGCGTATTATGAGTTTGATGCATACAAATACCGACACTTACACAAAAGAATTATTATTATTATTATTAAAGATTGTAATTGTACGACGCGATCGATCGACGTTTTAACGATGCCAATTAAAAGCGAATATGTTTGTAAGTTCTCGGTTCAGCAACAAAGTATTATATATATAACATAAGAAAAGAAACGGTCACTTCTTTTTACCTCCGGCTTTTTCTTCTTACTCCGCGCTCGCGAGCTTTGTCAATTAAAAGCGTACCGAATGAAAAAAAAAAGCGAGATGGAAGAGCGGAAAAGAATCGGTGCTCGCGCGCGCGCACATTTTCGAGAGACTTTATAAAATTTTCCCGCAGACATAAATCCTGGCAATTACGATCGTATAACTTTGAATCACTTCGAGCGAGCGAGCGAGCGAAAAGAGTTGGATCCGCTGACAAAAAGCAAGTTGAAAGCTCGAACTCGGCGCAAACCCGATATTTCGGAGGCTACCCAGGCAGGCAGGCAGGCAGGCAACGAGAAAGGAGAAAAAGCGATGGATTGCAAAAATAAATAGAAAAAAGAGAAAGAGAGAGAGAGAGAGTACGCGGCGAGCTTTCGGCCGTATACGCGCGCAGCACTTGCGAGGTGAGTGAAACATTTGAAGGTTTTTTTTTACTGATGAAAGAACTGCGGAATTTTCATCCATTCTCCGTTTCTCTGTCAGATTCGATTTGCTTCTCTTTTTCTTTTTTATTTTTTCGGTTCGTTCTGTCACCTCTCACGCCTTGCTGGACTTTGAACGATTTTCCTTTATTCACTTCGATCGAAGCGTTACGCGTGCGCGAGCTCGCGCAATGTAATGCGACCTACGATAGGGTCGCAACAAAGATTATTATTATTTATCTCGCAGCAAAGCGACCCGCATATCGCGAGAGAGGCAGAGACTGCAGATTGATTCTTCGTACGAAAATATACGCGTCCAGTAGTGGCACTTATGTAACGAAAAAAAAAAAAAGAAAAAAAAAAGACAAAAAAAAAACGAAAAAAAGCGTGCGCGAAAGCGACGCCCGAGAATCGTTTTCTTCCTCCTCGTGGCGCATTAGAAGCTCTCCGAGCTGGTAAACTTATGAGCTCGAACCCTCGGCGAAAAAACTTTTTGTTCCATTCGTCGGTCTATATACTTTATAAGTCGGAGGGGGAGGGCGCGCGCGCGCTCGCTCGAGCTCCCCCCAACGATGGAGATTGTTTTTCTTCTCTCAACTTTCTTTATTTTTCTTCGTCAGCTATACATAAACATTCGCATGCACTCGCTACGGATGGATTTCGAATCTTTAAACAGTTCTTCGCAGCAGCAGCTGCTGGAGCGAAGAGAAAAAGAAAGAAGAAGGCGGAGACCGCGCGGCAAGCTTGAGAATTTAACGTCGCGCGGAGCAGTCTCCGCGAAAGCTGCTTACCGAGGCAGCAACGAAAAAATGACAAGAGCTTTCGAATTTGAACATATTTTACAGAAAAATGTTTATGTGTTCTATCAATCGATCAATGTCGATTTGACAATGATGAATAAATTTGCCTATCTCTCGGGCTCTCGTGCTATTTTCTTTTTCTCGCGCGCGAGTTCGTTTCTTTTTTTTTTTCTTTCACCTCCTAAACTGACAAATCTTGCACCCCGCTCCCGCGCGAATAATGTGGAGCTATTCGCAGCAGCAGCGCCACTACATGGTGACTGGAGTGAGAGAGAGAGAGAGAGAGATCAGGTTGAACGCGTCATCGAGCACGTATACGAACGCAAGAGGAATTTCTAATATAAGACGCGTGCGGTTTTCGCGCGCGCGCAAGAGGCAAAACCCATTTGCGAAACGTTGCGAGGCGTTAGAAGCGGCTGAGAGAACTTTTTGTCAGCTGCGTATCCGGTGAACCGTACGCTTAGTCATCGATTGAATCGAGCTGCTGCTGCTGCTGCTTCGAGTTTATGCTTGCCCTCGCATAGCTGGGGAGCGAGCAAAAATGACTTTGTTCGACGTAGAGCTCTCCCGAACTTTGTTCTGCTCGTTGTCAAAATTATGTTGAGCTTTTGCTATCGTTTTGAGAGACTGATTGCTAAAGAGAACGAAATGGCCGTGGTTTCGAAAACGTACTATATACTCGGGACACATGGACGCGTTCGATTCGATTCGATCCGCGATATGGCTTCGTGACCCATTCAAAGTTTTCATTTTAGTTTTCCCGCGGTGAATATCAGTCGTGCGACTGCTGCTGCTGTACAATGTACACGTACGTGCATGCGATGTAGTTGTATTTATACAGGAGCTCCGATAGCAGTTGATGTTTTGATGAACGATCGAGGCAAAAACGCTTGTACAGTCGCTTTTCTTCATGCGGCGAGCCGCCACAACACCCAAGTGACTATTCATACCATCCATGCTCGCATTCGTGTTTGCAACACACAACACAACACACGCCCACACGCGAGCTCGTGTTTTCACAGTAAATCGTGATATTCAATTTTCGCTGTTATCGTTTCAAGTAAATAATTATTTTGCCTCGCATGAACCAAGTATTATTCTCGCAATGCTTGTGCGCATTCAAGAGTGCACATTTTGATGTTTCCAACCATTTTGCTGTATTCCTCTTATTATTTTCCGGCGCGCACGATTCGTGCGGCCATTGCAGAAACCAACAATTACAATAATCGCAGCAAATTAAAATATGAAAATAATAATCATGTAATCTTGCTCATCTAAATTAGAAAAAAAAAAGATGAAAAAAGCGGCATATTTCTCGATGGATGCAGATAGATTATCTTCGTGCTTGGAATTAATGATTTTCTGATTCTACCGCAACGATTTTTCAGTGTCAAGTGAATAAATACTGCAGGCGCCCAGGGTTAGCGCGACGCGCAACATTAACCCCTTGCACAGCGCGGAGCGTCATTTTATCTACGCGCGCGCGCGCGCCTCTTTACCTATAGAGCTATAAGAAGTTTTTCTTTTTTTGCTCCTCTTTCCTCTAACGCGTACCGGCTTGACTCTGCATGTATACAGGTATAGAGCAGTGAGTTAACACGGTAGCATAAGCTGACGAGCACATTTCATTATCTGCTTTTTTCCACCTTCGCGGGCAGATTTTCTAAAAATATGTAAAATATTGGAAATCGTTGGCGTGCGCGCGCGCCTCTTTACATACGTATACAAAATGATAGTTTACTCGCGCTCTTTTTCTTGTTTTTTTTTTAACCTTGTCAGATACACATACGCTAGCCAAGGAAAATAATCTTTCTGCATCGGCAATCGAGGAGCTGCTTTGCATATAATATACTTTTAAAACACGTCGATTTCTGTTGTTGTTTGCATTGTACATTACACGCGTTATCGTGTAAGACTCAATCGAGGCTCTTCTCGCTGAAAACACATTCGTGATAACCTTGAGGATATCTCTTTTTAATTTGGTTAAAAGATATGTGTAGATTTTTTAATTAAAAGTGCATTTGATCATAAACATGGTAAGATTAATCACAGACATGTTAGATATTCCTTGATTAAGTTGTTAGTTGTTTAGTTGTTTTAAATCTTCGTTTATGAATAATAATATAATATGAAAAAATAATTATTATTACAATTAGCATCTACAGGACTACAGATATAATAAAGAGTTTCTCAAAATATGTGTAAATTTTTATACTGGGGAAATGACAAGTTGATCCAAATGGGAAATGGTTCGCCATCGTCGCGTCTCGAGTGCGATGCAATTGAAGCTAGAAAAAAAAAAAGGAAAAAAAGAATCTCATTTAGTCGCAAATATCTTACGTCAACCGCATAGCTATACGATCTGCTTATCGAGCTTAATCGAGGCACGTTTGAAAGCTCCTAAAAGCCGACGATTATACGCGGGAGAGCTTGCAGAGGCTAGACTCGAGCGCGTTTATCATTAGCGAGCATTTCGCCCTGCAAGTTCTCTCTCTCTCTCTCTGGTTCACTTTTTGACTAATATTGCCATTCATCGTGTCTTTAAGCGCGGCGCGAATCTCTTGCCACATACACTGGGGCTGTGCAGCAGCCAGACGCCGCACGAAGCGAGATTCGGTTTAGCAATTCCAGAATACGTACTATATACACGTAGAAGGACAATTTTGAGGTTACACTCGAGCAGGAGACTAGTAGCAATAGCAACGGACTTGTCAACTGGCAATACTACATATAGACACGTTATTACCTTATAAGGAGAGAGAGAGAGAGAGAGGATGTCGCGCCACGTGCGATTTTGCGGTCGGAAAGCTCTTACTGGCACATAGTTGTCGTCGTCGCCGAGCGACGCGTAATTATCCTCGAAATTGTCTCCGCACGGCGCGCGTGACATATACACGCACATGTATCTATAGCTTAACGCACTCGAGACCATTCGACGACTATAATGCGCCGTTGGGCGGTTGAGCGAGGCGGAAGGAGGCCGCGAATGTGCGGCCGTATAAGGTGCTGGCATGTACAGGCTGTAAGATCGGCACACACGCACACATCGTGCTGCCTCTCTCCTGAATATAATATACAGTTTGTGTATATAGGTAGGTATATATTGGTGCTTTGTGTCGAGGTGCTACGTAATGCCAGTGATTATATTGCACTCAATTATCATGGCCGTGCTCGTATATGTATATCATATACGCGTGTTCATCTACGTGTACGGATATTTATCATATTATATATATTGTGTGTGTGTGTATATATTTGACGCGTGAAAATTGAGAGTGTACAACGCGTGCGCTAATATACGTGCGTGGATTTATTAATATTATAATGAGGCTTGAGAAATAACAGGGTAATTCGAAGCTTAAATCGTGGCGTAATTATACGCGACTCCCGTTGACCCTCGCGTGTAGCAAGCGATTCGTTCTACCTTTGCTACATATCTTGTCCCTTTTTTTTTGTATATTTTATCTTGGAGCTCTGTATATTATTCAGTACGTCGTAAGAGACAAAGGCAGTTATATAGATGGACAAATTTGCTATCGGTTATCAGTATTTGAGCGGCCGGACGTACTGTAATCGATCGTAAAATGGTAGTAAGAAAATATATTGTCCATAAAAAAAATTAATACGTCCATGGTTGTATTAGTGTAAATATAAAGACTATATTATATATACTATAAATTGAACACATATCAGCTGGAGTTGTAAAAATCGTTTACGTACACTGTCCACAAGATACTCGTCGAGCGTCGTAATATCTTATGGGGGCACGTGCGACAGAGTTATATATTTCTATTCTATAAAAGCAATCGCGATGCTTCGGGATACAACAAAACAGGAGAGACGATAAAAAAAGGGGGGGTAAAAAAAAATTAATAACAGTAAAAAAAAAAGTAAAAAAGGTAAGTAAAAAAAAAAAGAAAAAAAAAAGAATAGAAAGAACTCAAGTTTTATATACGTACGAAGCTATATACCTGGCATGGTTCACGTGGTATAATAGAAAGAGAACGACGAGGCATGCACGAGTAGCGAGAGCAGCAAAAGACAGAGAGAAAAGGAAAAACTGATGAACATTACCTAGAGTGAGCTTCTCGCCGGAATCCGGTGGCAGAGTGAAGCCGAGCAAGGCCATGCTCGATATGAGCACGCACGGCACGATGAGATTGAAGAAATAATAGAGCGTGCGCCTGCGTATCTGTATAGTGAAGGTGATGTCGACGTAGGGCTCCGGGCAGCACTGGTAGATTATCGTATTCTTTTTGCCGGGCATACCTGCAACGACAAAGCCGTGGCACGTATCGGACACGCGCGATTGGTTTTTGGTAGGATTTTTTTTTTTTTTTTGTCAATCGCACGCGCCGTGCTACTTTAGTCAACGAAATTTTCAAAAGATTCATCATAACATTGACATTCATTTTGTATTTTTATCATCGATAGGAGGTGACAGAGGATGCATATTATTGTTTATGTATGCGCGTAACGAGCCACTATGCTAATTGCGAGCTTGCGGCTATTTACCAGCGAAAATCTTTTATTGCATCTACTCAGAGTTGAAAAATTAAAAAACTCTTTTTCTTAGTCTCGAGTCATCACAGCTCGTTGTTAGCACGAGTCGCCTCGGATTATTTATTCTCGTTACGCGCGTACACATCGCACTCGCACATTTTCAAAACAGACATTTCAATTCAATATATGTTATTAATCATAATAATAATATTTGTATGTTGTATATTCTGATTATATTTTATAATTATTCCATATTTGGTTGAGTTTATTTTTGTCAGACTCACCAATGAGGTACCACTCCCCGTTCATGATGAAATCGGACAAGTCGCCTCCCTCCTTCGAGTTGAGCACCAGATCGAGCTATACCAAGTATGGTCGGAGAAAGATAGAGAGAGAAGAGAGAGAGAATAAAGTTACGATTAAACTTTACAAATGCTTTTTCTTCAACTCTTATTCTTTTACAAAATTTCGCGTTATATATTTTTCAATGTTAATGTCACATTATCATATGATACAATTATATTACATTTTTCATGATTATAATAATTAAAATTGCGTAAAAAAGGTATATTATATATAATATATACAGAAAGAGAGAAAGAGAGAGAGAGAGTGAGAAGTAGATTATATTTACATATATACATTTGGAACAGAGGGAAGCAGAGCAATTTGTACAAGGCATGTTTGATTACATCAAAGTAGAGCTCTTGTGCGTGTATGTGTATAGGCGGTGATCGAGTCTTCACAAAAAAAAAAAAAAAAGAAAAAAAAACATTTCTTGAAACAATACGTGCCACGATACCAGATATCTATAAATTTTCCCATCGCAAAATGAATATGCAATATCGAGAGGCCGGGAATAGATATATGTACACGCGGCGCGAAAGTACAAAGCCCCGGACGTTTAGCACAATAGTGTTGGCGCGCGAGCGATAAAATATGCAGGATATAATTGAAATTTATTTGAAAATTGAATTACTGCCGCTATAGCCAATTCTATATCTGATTATGGCGATGTATATGTGTGGACACACACGCAACGGTATCTCTGGATGCGGCGAATGAACACGTACATTCGTGCATCTATATGCATGCGCGTGACCGCGTGCACACAAGATCGATACCCAAGTATCAAGCCCAGCGCACATTGATAGAGACGATCGGATGCAAATTCGACATTCAAATTATTGTATTTCGAGGCCCGGGCTCGCCGCGTCCAAATTCATTAGTGCGGTACGGAAAATCCGGGGGAAAATTCATGCACGGTACGAATGCGTCCGAGCAAAAATATGTCCAGCCGATTTAGAAGGTAATGCCGAAATTTTGTCGAATTCGTTTCACTTTCATCGGGTGTGTTGTTGTCGTAGCGTGTATAAACGTGTAAAAAAAGCACTGAGAAAAAAAAAAGCGAGCGCGGAGCACAGCAGGCACAGGAGAGATAAATCAATGTATACGTATAAAAAGTATCCATACGTTTTAAGGATAAAACAAATTTTATAAAAGCTCTAAAGGGCTACGAGAGGTTCATCATGCACATTTCGATCGAGGTACATCTTTTTTTTTTCGAAATTCGCACGTTCGTATCGATTCAGCTGGACTAGATTCATTATTGATTCTTTTCGGCAAAAGTTCACACGCTTAGCTCGCACAACGCGTGCGAGAATCTAGATTTCAGCTTAAAGGACACGTGAATGCAAAAAAAAACAGCGCCATACAGTGTGTTTTTCTTTGGCTTTTTTATCCGCTGCTATGACGTTCTCGCGTTTGTACAGAAAGCACACTCAGATAGGGGGGTAAGAGGTTTCTTTTCTATTTACACACATATAATATGTACATACACATATTTAGGAGTGAGCAAGGCTTTTCATTTCATTCGCATAATGGGATATTTACATGCCATATTTTAAATGTACATAGGAAAATTTGTATAACTTTTTTTGACAAATAGCATAAATCCTTTTTTCTTATAACGTACGAGATATATGTACAACGAATGTGATATACTGCTAATCAAAAAGATTTGACTTTGCTTGCTAAATAATCACGAGAAAAAAAATTAATCCCTTGCATCGACACAGCATGTGTGTATATAGTAATCGCGGTCACATAAAATGCAGAGCGACGTAGCTAAAACGCATAATATCAATTTTTTTCTGCACATCGTAATCAAGTGTGATGCTCGGGAATAAACGACGCAGTAAAAATTTCTCATCCGTGTGTAAAGCTCGTATGAGTGAATCGAAACCATAAACTTGTGGCAAAGCGAGACAGGAGCGTTAAAAAATTTCGAGGTGACATGTAAGTGAGGAAATTCAATGTCAGACTTTTTAAACGTCGAGCAACCAGCGTCCGTAAGCAGGTCATCGTAATTTCATGACCTCCTTAACCGGTGGTATTCATCGATAGACGTGCATGCCTGGCGCGCTCCTGTTACGCTTTGCTCGCGTCTGCGTGTCTACGTGTGTGTTTATATGCACGTGTATGGATATCAACGCTTCGAATCTCCTCTGTGTGCAACATAATTATCGAATTTATGCCGTGTATACTCTGATTGGGAATCCCTTATAGCATGCAAATGCAAACTGAAAACGTTGCCACACTGAATACACACACGCGCACAGAACAATAAACGCACAAAAACATGAGATATCATATGTGTGTAGATATAGCTATTTTTTATTTTTTTTGTTCAATCATCTAAGCTAATGCACTAAATATTGATTCCCTCTCTGCAAATTTTTTTCTGTTTCAACTTAATTATATTGTGTTTTTTTAATAGCTATTTTTTCATTTTTTAATAAGATGCTGGTTTTTTTTTCAGGAATTGTATGTCAAGGGTAACATCAAAAGATACACATTAACAAACAAGTGTGAATTATTCGGTGAATGATGTCAGTGTGATTCAATGCAAATGTTTTTTTTTTGGGGGGGGGGCGAGCAGGGTATTTTATTTGTACACATCATATGCAAACATTTTGAGCATGTACGGAAGAGGGCCGTTTGTCTGCCAGCGAGCCGCAATTGCGCTTCAAATAATATTTAATTTTGTTAGCATAAATTAATGTTTGATTTTTTTAATTCATTTTACAGCGTTCATATCGGTTACTCATTAGAGTTATTTAAAATTTAAAAATTAACTTTAAAACTGAAATGAAATAGATTGACTTGACCTCGACAATTTAGATACAACATGAGTAAAATCATAAAATAAAATGTAATTGCTATTGCACCGAATTATATCGACGAATGGAAATTTTAAAAATAAATTAAATTTTAAAAATCCGGAACGGGTTTCGATATGAGGGTAATTGAATAAATGTCAAAGAAATTTTAACACACATACATAAAAATGTTAACTTTTCATTAATAAAACATCACTGCTATATATTAATGAAAATTCTTATATTCGGCACATGTAAATTATATATGAGATAAAAATATATTTTATAAATATAATAAAATTGATTCTTATTTAGCGATCGAACGTGGTCTTACATGGATGCCCCCTGGCTCAGACGCACTGCACGGGTATACTTGTAGCATGTGTTTTTACCCCCTCGTCAACACATGCTTGTTTTTTTTTTTTTTTTTTATTATTTTTCGAAGAAAGTATGACCTCTCGAACGGTGCGTCGAGGGGCATGCAAGTAAGAGCGCATCCGACTAATAATTGATTTAACAAACGAGCATAATTTAGATTTTCTTTTTTATTGAAAAATCAGAATTATCTTTTATTTGGTGCACTCCTGCCTCGAATACACTCGCGCGACTAAATATGTATTGTCGCCACATTCGCTGTTCTTTTGTCTACTGCGTGAGCTTTTAGAATCTAAAATGATATACTAATGTTATATTTATAGACGTGTCTCTAAATAGGCAAAAAGATTACTATTAACTAAAGAACTCATCAATATGGCCTTAATGCAAATTTGCATATGTAAATAATTCATAATGAGAATCATACGTTACTAAAGCACGAAATGAAGTCGTACGATCGTCCATTGGAGACTGCTTTTGATTCGGCTGCATTTCGACTCCCGTGACTCTATAATGAATCAATCAGTTTCTATCCTTATCGATTTGTCAGTGCGATCAATATGATTTGCGGATAGCTAACTGACGTGTTCATAAAAAGCTCGAAGACTCATTTTCTACGTTGGAACAACTTTCACCTACTCGAGAATATGAGACTCGTCGCTTCGATCGGTGCGTTCAAATAACGAAGTTTTTTTTTTTTAATTTTAATTTGCACCGTCGCAAGAGCACGATGAAAGTTTTTCCCAATAAAGTCTTCTATCGATGTGCTTTATCGATGAAATAAAATAGCGCAAAGTAAATTTTTTAATTTAACAAGTCTCTAAGATTGCTGGGTGAAGTATTATGCAAGCAAAATATTTTTATCTCGAATGATTACAGACTTCAGAATTGAAATAAAATTTTAATTATTTAATCGCGCTGAAAGATTCATCCTCGAAAAAATATTACGAATTTCCGCGTATAAAAGGCGGCCAAGATTTTATCCAGGAATACAGCGCAGAAAGGAAACAAAGTATGACGCGCGCGATGCACGCAACAGGTGCGACGTGTACTCGGTGCTCGCGCGCAAGTAGTACGAGGCGCGTAGCGTCAGGCGCGGTACAATATCGCATCGATGGAACTTACAAAATTTTTCCAGCCGATGGGATATCGAAGAGCCGTTGTTACGCGCCACTTGTACGGCCCTCCCTCCGCCTTATTCGCGCTCAAAAAAATACCGAAAGCTGTATGCATCGCGCGACTACATTGTTTTGCGCTTAACCTCAAAACCGAGGCTACGGTGCTCGATACCGATAGAAAGATACACGCGCGTTGTAATCGTTGAACGAGAAAAAAGCGAGGATAGAAAGCGACAGCAGTCTCGCAGTTTACTGCGAGCTCGTCAATATTTTCTCTACGATCCTGTAAGTACAAGCCTCTGAATTTCATGCAAGTAGAAGGTATAAATTGTCACGGAAAACTCAATGCAGCAGAGAACGCGGTCTCTATTTCGATCGAACGATTTCTATAAATATAGTTTAGCACATAGCCATAATTCGTCGAGCTATAACCAAAGCAATACTAACGTTCATCGGATGTACGCGCGAGTGCTCTTAAATAATATATACATAAAAACGACAGACGTGCAAATAGACAAACGTAGATTATGATATGAAAATAAAGAATAGTAAAATTATAGTCATATCAGAAAAGCTCGCGTCCAGTGTATGCGAGGCAAGAGAGCGGCTAGCCTGTTATAATAAGTAACATTATTGCTAGCTTCATTTGAGAGGCGAGTACTCATTCTCCTTGATCTCCGTTTTCTGCTCTTTAAAGTCAATCGTTCATTTGGATTTCTCTGCGGCCATAGTTGCGCGCGCCCCCGCAGCCAAGCTCCCGCTACAACTACTCCTGCGCTGGTTTTGCCTCGCCAGTGGCCTGTCATTAAGGCTTTTGTGGTGGAGATTACCGATTTAATGGGCGGAGATTAGCCGGGCGATTCGACGTCCTTGTGTGCATATAAAAGCAAGAAACGACGACGACTACTCTCGTCGAGGCTAACCGATCGCGATCTCGTCGTCGTTGCGCGACTGGCTGCGAACATTAGCCCCGACTAAGTGCGTGTAATTCCCCGCCCTCCAACCAAGTTGGCTGAAATATATATATATTTGCTCGAATAAATCAGAGGCGCCATCGAAGCTTGACTCGACGACGAGAGCCGAGAGGCGCGCGCAGCTGGTGCCGATCAAATATTATCCAGATTGATAAAAAATATCTTTTCAGTGTAAATCGAGCATGAGCCCGCGCAGCCCAGTGTAGTCGGGAGAATGGAGCAGCATGGAAATGGTACATACCGCCGTTCTCCTGGCTACACTAGAAAGCCACGCGAGCTATTATGTAAGATTGTAATTTTTGTTGTTCTTGTATTGCAGTTTATTCGCGGAGCAGAGCGAGCAAGCGAGCGTGATCAGCTCCAACGAGCGCAAAATTAAAAATCAAAATCATAATAAAAGCAGAAGAATGTGTGGGGGGACACAATGAAATGCTGTAAGCTGGATACTTAATGGATGTACAAAATTAGCTCACACATGTACTAGCATAGTTATGGTGCAACTTATATGTATACATCACCAAGTATCGTGTTAATTGTTATATGCAATATATACACACAAATGTGCGATTCGATGGAGGGATGAAGGGCGAATGCAATTACAGGCCAGGTGAGAGAAGATGGACAAAGGCGACGAGAGATGAGGATACATATAAAATAAAACATAAGCTTAATTATATCGATTACGAGAGCTGATCCGCTCGGCCCTTGACGAAGGGTACGGACGAATGAGGACTCGCTCGTTGGCTGGCATGGAAGCGTCACTCAGCTATGGACTCCACTAGCAAAAGGACGAGAGGCAGGTTGGATGGTTGGACGTTCTTTTCCTCGCGCCTTCTTTATATTTTCTTACGCATTTTCGACATCGACTCGGCTCGTGCGCGGCGGGTCGATTTTTCGCGACTTACCGCCTTACGAGCCGAGTCGACTCGAAAGATTTTGCTATGACAAGAAACACAATCTCTTGCGTTCTCGATCGCTCGAGAAAAAAAAATCCTGTAACATTGGCGTTTACACGAGTGGCACAAAATCGATCGATGATTTTCCCCGAGCCAGGCTTGCAAGCTTGCGAGCTCGTGTGAATATATGTCGCAATTGTCGTAAATATAAATACACGCGTGGACGCGGAGCGTGATAGTGGAAGCAGGAGCGAGCATTGATTTCGGCCAGTAGCCAGAGAGTCCATTGGGTTACTTTAATCGCCGTAACGAGGCAGTTAGCGATAAAGCGTTAATTGTTAATCGATGCCTGATATTCTCTCTGCTGTTCGGTCGAGGGGAAGCGCGCGCGCGTAATAATGATGTAAAGCGCTGTATTATTTTATAGCCGTAAATCTGCGATCGTAAGGAAACGAAACAATTCCCCGTTCATTATTTATCATTCGTAAATACTTTGCAGCGAAATTACGAATACGTCCATGCGATAGCTCTAGCGAGAGGCAGCTGCAGTCCGTATAGCGGCCGAGCAAGAGAGACAAAAGCCGGCTATAGTCCAGCGGACCTATCCGTATTTATCAATATCAACTCAGCAGCAGCAGCAGCAGCAGCACGCAGCTCGCCCGTGCGGCGTTTGGCTTTTAAGGGAGCTCCTCTCGCCACCGCCGCCGCTACTGCTGTATCGCGCGCGTGTACAGCGATATCAATTTAACCCGAGAGCAGCAGCTTCCTGCTATATACTGGCTTTTAACTCGCGAAGCTCAAAACGCCTATATAGCCCGCGAGCTTCTATATATACCTATATAAATGTATGGCCGTTTCGTTCGTATGCACCTAGTGGGTGTCTGTGTGTGTGTGTGTGTGTGTGTGTGTGTGTGTGTGTACGGCAAAAGCCGGCCTTGTATAACTCGACTCCCATAAACGTCAATGAAACGAGGATTTATTCGAGACCGCGAGAGCGAATGAGACACACATAGAAACTGCCAAGTGACCAAAATTTATTGTTCTATTTGGCTAATGTAAAGCATGGGCCAGCGGGAGACAGGAGTAAGCACACTGCCTGTCGTGACATTGGATCAAAGGATTTTTCTTTTCGTGGAAGATGCGGAAGTTAGCGGAGTCGATAGTAGAGCAACGATGGACATATGCTCCATGCAAAATCGTGGTCCCGAGCTCAGACATAATCACGTGGTCCCTTGCTTTGACTTTTTTCCTTCTTTTTCCTTTGCCTTTTTTTTTTCTTTTCTTATCTGTACTCAGTAACGGGCTTATCGTGTGTGTGTGTTGGTGTGTGTGGTTTGCTTCTGTGGTAGGTGAGGGATCGAGGCAGACTTTTTCTTTTTCGGGTAGCGTGTTAGTGGTGTTCAAAGTTTGGGAGTGTTTGGTTTTTATTATTTTACTGGGGAAGGTGGGAAAAGCGAAAGATTTGAGGGCAGCAGCGCGAAAAGATTTTATCGGCTCAATTAATCGACATCAAAGTCGAAAAAATAAAAAAAAAATTCAATCCGAATTGCTCTCTGCAAAAATACTAGCTATTTACTCCAACCGACAAAGAAACGACTGCGTTAAAAAACGCGCAAAAAATTTTTTCAAAGATAAAAAACTATCTGATAAAAAAAAACTCGTTATTATTTAAAATTGTAATCTGAGATTTCTGACGTGTGAACGTTCTGTACTATTTTATTTTTAGATACTTTTTAAAACGCCGTTGCAATTGATCATTAATTGAGCATAAAATAAGACTTTAAAAATATCGTTATAAAAAGTATAGTTAATTGAAATTAAAAAATAGAATAGAATCAATTGACACGAGCTCCGCGAAATACGGTGCCTTAACAAAATGTGCGTGTTCATATAGAAGATAGAAATAGAGAGAGAGAGAAAGTATGGATAAGAGAATCAAGAAGTATTCTTTTTTTTTATTATGTGAATCGTGACGGAATAGAATAGAAATATATAGGCGTTTATAATTTTTTAGCATATTTTGTTTGATGTATCAATGACTCTTTTTTGTTGCATTTTCAGCTTGTTTTAATGAGAAAAGAATAGAGAAAGAGAGAGAGAGAGAGAGATATTGTGAGTTAGACAGAGAGAGAGCATGTGTACCTGGTTGCCGTCGTAGGTCCAGGATCCGAACTTCATTTCGCAGTGTTGATCGTCAAAGGGGAACCAAGCGATGTCTATCTTGCATGTGCTCTTGAAGATGCCCGGAGGGACGTACAGGCAACTGCCGTTATGCGTGACCACCACGTTTGTTTGGAACGTCCCGTCGAAACCCTCCTCCGCACTACACGAGCGTAAGGTTGTGATAGTAGGTTTTTTAATTTTTATTTAAAATCAACTCTTTTTTTTTTTTTTGATTGTTTGGTTGTTTTTGTTCTATTTTCTTTTTGATGTTATTAGTTAAAACAAAATTTTCTAGTCTCCTATCAAGTTTCACCGTATAATTTTTTTACTTTTTAGTAGGCAATAAAGGGGGCTAGGTATGAATTTACTCGCTTTTAAGAAATTTTTTATTTCTTCTTTTCTGCAGATTTTATTCCGTGAATGAAAAATGGCAAATTGTATTGATACAATATAGCTTCGATCAGATTTCAAATAGGCTTCATACTTTTTCCCGTAGGTATATTTTGTATGCATAGCAACTAACTTGCGTTTACGACCTTTATAATACATTATGCTTATTATCTAATCATGTGATCCTGAGTATTATTTCCGTTGTGATTATCGAAATAAAAAAATTATGATTGCTCGGTATATAGTATGTAATGGCATAAATAATCTATTCTATTTAATGTTTCAACCTATCCATGGCGCTATTAATTGTGTTGATGTGTGTAAACTGGGACAGTTATTTAGATGGTCTTAATTTATCCAGTGTCTTTTATTATTTTACGATAATTCATGTTTATACTTTAAACGGCGCATAAGAGCGCAGTTTTTTTATTTTAATAGTAGTCTCCTTTTTTTGACGAGTTTGCACGCGCACATCAACGCGCTGACAATAAAATGTGCCTGCACCAAAAAAGGAAGACTAATGCATCATTTTTTAACGCCAATAGGCATGTTGGCTGAAAAGTTTTACGCGTCTCGTATTAGCTTTAGCTTTATCACTTTTTGTTTTTGTTTTTTATTTGTCGTTCATTTTTTATTTTAATCTTTTTGGGGAAAAAATTGTACATGTTGTTGTTTGTGTATCGACGCTTCTGTATCGCGAGTGGGTGTGTAATAAAAATGTTTATTTGTGCGTATGTTATGGACGGGTGAAGGTGTATTTTTTTTCACTCGCTCAGACTCGCACTCGCACACATATACACTGCACAGTTACAGACACAAACGTAGGAGCTATCCTTTTTCCAGCTATCTCGTCGTATTTCTTTTCATCATAAGTGCTCTGAGCGAAAGCGAAAGTATAAAAAAAAAGCATCGTATTTTAGACTCGTGTATCTGCCACTTGTTCGCTTTTCTGCACCTCGCGCGCGCGCGTACCGAGATTTACGCACACCCACACTCGGCACACATACCTTTACGTAGCTACGAGAGTCGGCAAACTTCGACCGGCTGTACTTATATAAATATATAGTGCAAGTGTGTACCACACTCGCACAACCAGCACCGAGTGCAAACATGTCTACAATCTCTATACTAAATATACGTGAAAAATATACAAATGTTTACTAGGGCGTGGAACTTGACAAACAAATAAATAAACAGGAATAAGCTAGAGAAAAATAGTGAACTTTTCAGAAAATTTGGTTGAACGAGGTATAAATATGGCGTGCGCAAAGTAGCAAAAAATTTAATAAAAATCACACGATGCTCGATTATAAATAATTGAGCCAATTTGAGGTGTGAAATTAATTTTCGAGCTCGTTGAAAAAAAAAAGCATATATATTACTTCCATTCATTGGACGTCGACAGTTTTTCCTTGCGTGAAAGCGTATTTGCAGGGCTCTGAATATGCCCCTTTCGTTGCCTTCCTACAGCTCCCAGACCGAGAGTACATAAAAGCACACGACTAAAAATGCCAATTCTCTCGTGAATGGTAATAAGACGTACACGCGCACGTATGTGTAACGTTCGCGAGAGCGGAAAATATACTCGACGGAGTGAAAAGGGAAAAATTCCCAATTGTATATTGAAAACTGCGTTTCGGTTTGTGTATGGGCGCGCGCGCGCGCGTACCCAAGTCTAACGTACAAATCGGCTCGATCGCGTCAGTGCAGCGCAAGTATATGTACTTGTTTGATGGTGGTACCCCTTCCGTCCGCAGCACAGCATGCCTCACGATATCGCAGCGCACGACCTGTGTACTCGAGTGCAAATTTTTCGGTACTGGAAAAAATCGAACGTCGATTGAGAGAAAGAGGAAGAAAGGAGAGAAAAAAAGGAGAAAAGAAGCGGAAGTTATCGAGTAGAGTTTATTTCTCTCTTGCGAATTGATCGAAGTGTATACCTTGGACGAATTCCAAGCTTCTTGTACTGCGTTGGTATTTTAGCTTTCACGTGGGCTCGTCGATTTCTTTTTTGTTCCTTCGTTTTGCATCGTTCTTATTTTGATCTGTCTTTTTACAATTTTCAAGTTTCACGCGCCATGTCAGTATTTATAAATAAAAATTCATAAAGCCGGGTTCATCGATTGCAGGCGCCGCGATAATAATCGTGAAAATCGAGCTATATTAACGCGCCGGGCAGCCGCCGCTGCTGCACGGATGTTGCCGCGCTGACGCGATACCGTCACCTGTTGTCGCGCGCGCAATATTCCGCTTGATTAAATTCTGCACTTCGCGCTCTCGGCATCCCGACGATGTAATAATTATTTTTTTACATTATTACGCTGGTATTTTCATTTAATGGCCGATACTTCAGTTGAGTACTTTGAGCTGTACAATATATAATATATACCATCTGAATATATAGCCGCGGCAGTAGAGCAGCTTTTCAAGGCGTCGCAATAAACATAAAAAAAAACCTACTTTTTCTTCTTTTTACCTTTTTAATGATACTTCCATTAGTCTCGAAAGTATTTGCAAGCATCGAAATCAATATTGGCAATTTCGAAAGTGGCAGCCAAAAGAAAAGTTACAATAGCGATAATACGAAAAGTGTACGCGTCGCGCAGTGAGCATATAAAAACTGATATACTTTTGACCGGCTAGTGGAATACGTCAGTTTCCATTGAGCGGTGTGCACCAGCTGGCGCACTTGGCAAAGTCGGTTGCAGCCAGCGAGGCTCGCGTGCCTGCCGCGTTCGACTAGCTTATATATTTACAAACAGACGTGCGCGAAAAAAAAACTTGCCTTGATTTATCGATTCCGCAAGTGTTTATATTTCCCTACGGATTTAGCCGCGCGAGCGAACTGCGGCTCGGTTTTTTATTATCATTATTTTTTTTTTCCACGCGAGTATTTCTCTCGGCCACGCGTAAACTTAATGTACAGGCGCGAAAAAAAATGGCTACGTATACGCCATGGACGTGGCACGTCGAAAAAAGTAGTCGTTGTTTTTCTTCTCGGCCAAGCTCGAGCGCCCGATGATACGTGCATTAGAGAACGATGTAAAAATAAAATTTTTAGAATCACCTTAGACGTAGGTTTATTGCGGTGCGCTCGAGTCGTAAATACGTTAACATATACGTAGGGTGGCATGTACGGAGAGAAGCAGGAGATTTTGGCGTAGTGATAAATGTCAAGATCGTGGCTTTAATGCGATAAATCCTGAAAGGCGCGCGCGTGTCTGTGTGCGCAGACTGCTTTAATTCCACATTGTATTTGTACGTATTCAGAAAAAACCTCGAGAGCTCGAGTATCGCACTCCTTTTTTTTATTTCGAATGAGATTTAAGCGAGGTAGGAACAAGTTTGCGTTGAACAAAGTCGCCGCGCGTGCGGCGCATACGGATAATTAAGCGCACGGGGCGAGTAAAAGTTTTTGCATCTGAGAGAACAATGAAATATTACAAATTTCTCGCGCTGCGTAAAGGGACGAGAGCGAGAGAGAGAGAGTTATTAAGTCGAACGCATAGTTAAGCGCGTACGAGCAGCATTAAAGATTCCACAGTTGTATATTTTACAAAACTTGTATCTCGCCTCTCTCTCTCTCTAATGCTCTCAAGAGCCTGCGTGGTTTACGCGACGAGGAAAACAGAGAAAGTTATGTACGACATTGACGAGGACGCGGCTCGGTGGCCAAGGAATAGTAAGAGCAAGAGAAAAGGAAGAGAGAAAAAGCTGTAAATAAATGAACGCCTGAAAATTTGCTGTTTGTTTATTGTAATAACAAATCACTGCGTTGCCTCGTGGTACTTGCGCAAAGAAAAATCTTCCGGCTCGCGCACGCACCTGTAACCGGGCCGTTGAATTTTATCCTTTTATTCGGTACTCTTGCGCGAGCGTGGCATTATTTCGAAAAGAAAGACTCAAAGTATTGCGCGGCGAAACAATGACACGGCACGCTCGCACCGGGGTTATAATTTTCCTTCAGCTTTTTGTTTTTTTTGTTTTTGCAAATTTAGCAACTATAGAGCTGCTAAACGACTTTCCTTTTGTACCAGCGCAAGAGCAGGGAAAAATGCTCCCGAGACGAGCTACGTTTCGAAACAATGAATTCATGTTTTTTTTTTGTATTATTTCGTGTTTTAATGACATACAACGAGCGTTAAAAATTAGTCGCCTTCTCGTATATAGGTTCGTACTACTGCGAAATCTTATGTATATTTTTGACTGCAGAGCGAGCCAAGTGGAGAGCAACAAGTATCATCTCTACGCGCGTATACAGAGAGGCTCCGGCGACGAGTCGAGTTTCGCACGCGCCGATTGTTATATTAACATCGTAGTTCGGGCCGGGCGTAATTTTTCAAGCTCGTGCTATCAATGCGAAATGTTTCGCTGGCACAAAGTCACGGGCCCATTGTTGGAGGCTTCGCTCCGGAGAACAATGGCCAGGCGCGCGCTAAAGCTCGGCGTCAAGGAAGCGACTCTCGCGCGTCCCGGCTATATACACAATATTCATCGCGCTGATAAGCTATTTTTTTGCTACCCTCCCAACCGAGCGAAGCTAGTATACGTCGAGCGCAACATTTTTTTTTTCCTTCAATCACTCGCGTACGTAAACTTTTAAATTTCACGTTTTATTGACGCGTTTGCGGGACACGTTGACCAGGCACCGTCGCTAGCTCGTGCACAAAAAAAAAAGGAAGGAAAAAGGGTATAACATTCGCGTCATTCACCGCGAAGCTAAAAAGTTATTTATGCAAAAGCAACAGCAGAGCACAGAAAACACGCACA